GGAGAGGAGGAAGAAAGGGAGTCACAGGAGCTATCCTGAGTGTGCAGTACTAAGCTCAGGCATCGCCAAGGGAGAGAGTGGTCAGGAATGAAAAGGCAGCTCCCAAAGGGCACTGGAAGGGGGCAAAGGACCTCAGCTAAGTGGAAGACGGGGAGAGGCTTCTGCCAGATAATAGAGGAAGAAAGCAGAAAACATAAAATATATATATATATGGTTTGTGAAACTTATTCAAAAGTTTTATTGGGAAAGAGATCAGAATATAATGACTGAAACAACTCAAATTCATTCTCTTCAGGTCATCCACATTTTTATCTTCATGAATGTATTCATTTCCTCAGCCTACCATAACAAATTACCACAAAAAATAAGAGAAATTTATTGTTGCAGTTCTGGAGGCCAGAAGTCCAAAAAAGAGGTCAGTATGGTCATGTTCTCTCTAAGGCTTTAGGGGAGCATCTGTTCCAGGCCTTTGTCTTATCTTTTGGTGTTGCCGGAAATCCTTTACGTTGTTCTTGGTTTGTAAACAAACCATTCCAATCCTCTGTCATTACAAGATGTTCTCCCTGTTGCGTCTGTCTCTGTATCTCTTGATTAGAACCCACCTTAACCGAGCATGACTTCATTTTAACTTAATTACATCTTCAGAGACCCTGTTTACATATTAAGGTCACATTCTTAGGTACCCAGGGTTAGGACTTAAACACATCTTTTATGGGGACACAGTTTAACCCACAAAATGGTCTTTTTCCAAAGAGCAACGATACTTACATCCTGTTTGTCATTTTCCCAAAACTTTCCCACAGTTCAGATGCAATCATTCAACAGAGGAGTGGTGGCCACTCCATTAAAGGAAGCCATTGAGGAAAACTCTTATCAGTGTCATTATGAGACTGAACAGTTCCTAGAAACTTAAGATCATATTCTTATTATGTTCTTCCATTTGGAACTTTACTGGCGTCAGCACTTCCATAAAGTTTTCAGAGTTTCACCCTTGGCAATGATCCAACACATGAGCACAGCAGTAAGGCGTTGGCATGAAGGAATAAAGGACCATTGTTAGGACGAGGAGTGGCAGCCCAGGAATAAGGAAGAAAGAGAGGAGCTAATCTCAGGGGCAAAGTAAATTGTACACTAAATCAGTGATATCCATAATACCAAACAAAGAGTCTTAAAAGACAGGTTCTTATTTAAAAGAGAGAGGTGGGGGGAGGAGACAGGAGAGACAGGTTTTGAACAGGACAAAAACTTGGAATAGCAGCTGGATATAATTAACATACAAATAGAGTTTTGATTCTATAATTTTCCCCATCTTTAGTTTTTACAGCACACACCCAGATTCCAAGGAATGCAAACAAACTAAACTGAATAAATGAAACTGAGGTTACCGATGACATCCATTGAAAATGGGCCAGCATTTGTATACCTGCACATCCGTGCCAACCACAAGCAGCTGAGACAAATCAGAGGCTACTGTCTCCATATTTAGGATATAAGCCATGAATAGCTAAAGTTTCAGAATAACACTCCTAAGTGAAATGGAGACACTATTAAAATCAGGATTGGCCATTCACAATGCAGTTTCATCACACTTGAATTAGAAAACTTGAAAACCTTTAGCGGTGTTAGGGATAAAAATGGTCTCTCAGCTCTTTAAAGTTGGTTAGGAAACGACTTTAAGATCTGAATCTAAACATTAAATGATAATACTGTAAGAACTTTGGCCTCCAATAAATTGGCCCTTATAACTTCATTTATGAATTCTACCTAAGCAAAGGCCACTTGGAATTAAGTCCTGAGCTGATTTCTCTGGCTACTTTGCTAAAACATCGGCAGAAACTTATTGAACACCTACTGTGTGCCGCACACTGTTCTGGAATGAGACATACTGGTGATTCCAAAGAAAACAAGACAGAGGAGCCCTGACTCCCTGGAGATTACATACTCGCAGATGAGATGGACCAGTATGTCTCATTTCAGAAACAGGTATCCAGTTGGGTGTAAAAGAGATTTGGGGGGTTTTGGCTTTTCTTCCTACTACAAAATTATTCTAATATCAGCTACTTCTAGTAACTAGAAGTTTATTCTGGATTTTAACATCCTTTTACAGACGCTATAGAAATAAATGTAAAGATGTTACAGTATGTTTCATAAACTCTATTGGAAGATCTGAAAATTAAGCTTACCAGGTCAAAAATTTTGACATGCTTTCATTATTTGGTCCTAAGAAAAAAACTTAGCAGTGTGACAAGTGGAAAGAGTCACAAGCTGCGAGACAAGGGGACGTGTGTTCTCATCTTAGACCTCCTCTGTCTTTCCAGGTTTCCTCACAAGGCTTTAATTTCATAGCCTGTGATGTTGAGGGCTAATTTGATTCATCATTTTTAAAGAATTATTCAGGTACCGCTGAAATTCCTGAGAAGCTTTGGGTTTTGCAAAATTTAGATTTAAAACCATAATTTTTCAAATAATTTAAAAACTTTTAAAAATGTAACAAAGCAAATAGCACTGTTAAATACTGTTTTATACCAAATTTTAGCCCATTGGAAACTATCTACCAACCTGATCATTTATGCATGCAGGTTAACAAATGTTTGTATAGACCTCATAATGATCTCCGGGCATACATTTGAACTTCTTAAAATTGGATTATTGATAGAGTAAGTAGTCATTCCGACCTGGCCTTTCAATAAATTTGTCCCTTCCTATATGCACTTCATGGAAAATGATTCGAGGAAGTACCTACGGCAACAGGCTGCACTTGTTCATGGCAGCCCAAACTCTGCCGGAGCCACAGTGGAACAGCCAGCTGTGTAGTAACAAAGAAGCGTAACACATATATTGTCATACCATAATATAAGTAGTTTGAACATCTTCTTTGTTAAGTTTTTTGGTAACTTTATAGCCTCCCTTATATTATCTTCTCTATAAAGAATGCAAATATGTTAGATATTGATAAGAATCCAAATTTTTTAAAGAGAATTAACCATTGCTCCACTTTCAAGTTTCCAGGTCAGTTTATTTGAAGAAAATCTTGAGATTTTAAGGTGAGCTGTTAAAGTCGTTTATCATTTGCACCTATTTATTGGTGTGAATTGGAATTTTTTTCAATATTGGGCTAGCAGTGCAAAATACAAAAATAAGATTAAAGGTTGAGACTGCATTTATCATCTATAACCCAGAGTTCACATTTTTTGGTTCATTAAAACAGTGTCATTTTTCTCATTAATTCAGCTTTAGAGTGATCAGATGTTACAAATGTGAACTTTTAAAATAATTTTCAGCAATGGCACTGCTCTCATCTTTTTTATATGGAAAGGGTTTTACATGATACTGAATTAGGAAAAAATATTTTTGTGAAAAATGTTTTATAACTATTCTAGTCATGGGTTGCTTGTTTTCAAGAAACAGAAATCTACTCCAGCTAGCTCTAAGTAAATAGTAACAGTTATGGACTACACTGTTGGAAAACACAAGCACTTCCAGTTCACCTGTTCACAATGGCCTTAGCATGGCCTTCAAGGCCCTGCAGACTCTCTCCTCTACATATCACTCTGATCTCCAGTTCTCCCAGTCTCCTCCCGGCTTACTCTGCTCCAGCCACACTGACATTCTTGCTTTTCCCCAGCACCACCTTTGTTCCCATCTTGGCATTTTCTGCTCTCTCCTTGGAACTCTTTGTCCAGCCATCAGAGTAGCTTGCTTTCTCACTGCCTTCAATTGTCACTGTCACCTTAGAGACTCAAACCTTGGTCAACTGATAAAAATAACATTACTCTCACATGCCTTTCTGGACCACAGTATCCTTTGCCACGTCTACCATTTTCTTCAAAGCACTTCTAATGCTCTCACTCTTTCTCTCACCATATATATGTAAGTTTTCCTTCATTTCTTCCTCACTTTCTTGCTCCTTCCCTCCCTCCTTTCCTTCTTTCTGTCTTTCAGTTTTCTCTTTTAAATTATAAGCTCCCTGACAAAGGCAGGACATTCATCTGTCTTGTTTACCACTGATTCTGTAGAACCTAGAATATAGTACAACACCGAGTCCCAAAAGAGATGACTCAGTGTTGTCTGTTAAGTAAATAAATAAACAAGTGAATGAATGAATGACTGGACAAGACTCTCAGTCAGGTTACAGAAGGAGTGAAACTGGCAAGTCAGAAACTTAGATCATTCTTTTATTTGTTGTAGAATCTTATGTTTTCTCATCTCTCTTGCTCTCTCCTGCCTTTCTCTCTTCTTTTTTTTTGTTTGTTTGTTTGTTTGTCAATTGAAGTCTCCTATTCCTGACCTAACATTTGCTTTTTCTTCTCACTAGTCAATTTGCACACAGCTGAAAATTACCTACATGACCTACAGCTCAAGTGCTCCTCATTCTCTGGTTGTAATCCTGTCTTATAGTGCAAATACTCAAATGAGATAAAACATTTGGCTCAGTTTAACCTCTAGATTTACTTACCCCTTTTCAGGTCCCGGAGATGTGACAGGAGCTCAACATCACAGGGACCCAACGTGGCCTTCTAGGATGACCACTTCAGCAGGTACTGTCAAGGATATCGGTGGCAGCTTAAAAGGGGGAGATTCTGCTAGGCCCAGTGTGTTGGCTAAAACACAATGACAACAACAACAAAAAAGCACTGATGAAGATGATTTCAAATTGTCTCACCTAACTTTAACACCTTAATATCCCAATAGGAAAGTTAAATATATTTTAAGAAGCTTTTTCACTTGTTTCCTTTTCCACTTCATTTTTTATTTAGGATTCTTTCCATTGCAAATCATTAAAACCATATTTCAAAATTGCTTAAGCAAAAAAAAAAAAGAAAGAAAGAAATCTGCTTTTATCTGGCCCTTATAATCAAACAAGACAAGGTATTCTGAATTCAAGCAAAGAATGAGCCAGAGCTTAGATGGTTTGATCTGTAACTTTTTGTTGCTGAATTTTTTGTTCTCATTTCTCAACTTAATATCCTCAATATTGGCTCCAGTCTTATGGCTTCAGACTGACAGCCAGAAGCTCCCATGGCTATATCCTCCTAAATCCATGTACACCTCAAATGCCCTAATGAACTGATTAGGACACGCTCAAATTAATTACAAGTGTTAGAGGAATGTGATTTGTTGTTTGGCTTAGGCATTGGCTATATGCTCTGCCTCTAGAATTGGAAACAGAGTCAACTCTACTAGGTTCACATAGCTGAGACTAGTGGAGAGGAGTTTCTACCAATGTATAGCCTGGATGCCAAGCAGGAAAACAACAGATTTCTACCATAGTTGACATAGTACTCAAATAGTGATACCTGGAAATAATTTCATACAAAACAATGAAATCTTCTAATCTTCTTTTTTTGCTCTGCTAACCTCACATGAACAGACTATCAAAACCAAACCATTTTTTTCCAGTGGTCTGTGGATAAAACATTACACACTTTATATTCACACTTTACCCTTTATTTTTGGCTGAATGACTAATTCTACTGATCAGCCCTCAGTAAAGCACCCACAAGATTCTAGTCTCTAGACATGTACATCAGGAAGGGAAGTGAACGTTTAATCGATTAATATTTGCTGGCTAATGCCTTGACATTTACGAAGGCTGGGCACATCTGCATGAAACTCTAAAATAAAATTAGGAAAGTGATGAAGAATAAGACTTGATGAAAAGAAGCCAACTGAACCCAAAAAAATAGATACATTTCTTAACCATTATGCGATTTCACATGACACTCACTGTACCCATTGAGTGAAAACTACTTGTCAGTTCCTTCCACCCATCACCAAACAAATGAATAGCTCCATTTCATGGATTCACAATCAACTGACTGATGAAATATTTCAGTGTTCAATAAGCTGTCTAAGCATTTTGTAGTACAATGCCTAAGCAGATAGAAAATTCAAACCCAAATTTATTTTGTGTTATAACTGTTTCCAAAAGAACAATCAGCAGTTTTTATGTTGAGAGGAAGTAGGCCATAGAAATTTAAAGGTTCTGCTTTGGTGTCAGACTGCCCGAGTTCAAATCCTAAATCTGTACTTACTTGTACTTCCATTTCCTCATCAAACAAATGAAGATAATAATAGCAGCTGTCTCATGAGGTTGTGACAAGGATCAAATGAGTCGATCTGTATGAATTTTGTAGAAGCTTCTGGTAGTGCCCAAGGAGTGTTACCTATAACCTTCTTTTATTTATTTTTTTCGTCTCCCTCCCTCTCGCTCTCATCTCTCTTAATTTTGATTTTTTCTTCACATTACAAAATGCTATTAACTTACTTTGTGGACATCTCACTTCTATATGATGCATAATGCAAAGTGGTCCAGCCATGATTGAGATATAATCACCAAAGAGATGTCTTTGACAGAGGTAGAGTAGCTGACAAGTTGCTAAACACAATGTTAAACTGTTTGTTATTGTTGAGGAGTGGGAAGCGTCTCTTTTAAAAGACTCTCAGGTTTAACGCCAAGATGATTAATATTCACAGCGGACAGACTAGTTTATATAGCCAGAGACACTGAGGTCAGCCGGGATAATGGAAGAGCATGCTTATTCCTGAGTCTGTAGTGACACATACTTACATCTCTACCGAGCCCCGGCACCTCAGGCTTGTCAAGATGAGGTGTGTCCATACGGTTGTAAAGATTCAAACCTTACAAATGAGCATCGTGTAGTCATAAGCATTTGAATGAGTCATGGCTTATTTTATGGGTGTAGCTCATCTTCAAAGAAAGATTGAATTGACCATAAACATCAGATCATGGAACGAGCTTTTCCAAAGGCTCCTCATAAAAAACACAATAAAAATAAATACAGCTATTTCCTAAAATTTAAAGTCTCACATAGATTTATTGTGAATCTGATGCATCGTTGTTCATCGTCTCTTTTTTGGATGATATCTGTACTGCTGAACTGAGTTTCTGAAATGTCAATGAAGCTATTTGTATTAATGTACATAATCAGGTAGAGGAGGCAACCTCAGTACAGCGTAGGATAAGAGAAAATTTGAAAACATTTGCATTTTCACTCTGTTTTCCTATTTTCATGTGACTATCAGATGTCTTGTTGACATATCAGTTCTAGGCCTCTCAATGTGTAATCTGATGTGACCTCAATAATATCCAAACATGAAGTGATCAAAATGTCAAATATTTCATGATAAAAACAAACATGTGTTTATGTAATCTTCTGAGGATTCTTAGGTGTCATAGGAATTAGAAATTTTTTCAGCAGACTTTCATCTGTTGCCTTCTTAGGTGTTGTTTTCAGCTCACAGCAAAACATTACAGGTCCATGGAAAAAAAAAATCCAAAGTTCAAACATACATATATATGTTTCCTTTTCCAAAGGAAAATCTATATATATTTAGATTTGTAACCCACCCTGAATTTTCTGAAACTAGACATGAAGATCATTTTCATGGACAATATAAATGATATTTTTTGTAGCTCTCCGTAAATATGAAATCAGTTAACACATACTGTTTTAGCATACCTATTACTCCTCAGCACCAAGTAGGTTCTGTGGGAAATTTAGAATAACTGTGAGAGGCAATCTCTGCACCCTAGGAGCTTACGTTTCAGTGGGAAGGTTATACTATGTGTAAACTACATCAGACATCATGAGGCAGGCAATAATTTGTGAAGTTTTTGGTATAAGTTAGCTTATTGTCAGGGTTTAGAAGACAAAGACAAGAGCAAGGGCATAAGTTTGATAAAATTCAGCAAATGGAGAAATAAGTCTTGGATTGAACATTAGTGGATTCACAGAACCCAGAAGAAAGATGAACAATGAATGAAGCCTCTTGATACGGAATGCCAGTGGGTTATTTAAGAGATTGGCTTAAGTAACAATAACATCATTAAAAAATGAATAAAGAATAGAATTGATGCTTAGAAAAATCTCCAGGTTTCCTTGATAAAATAGGGGTAACTTGATAAAACAGGGATAAGTCAGGGGTCAATTCAGGATTTCAAACTTGGGTGACCTAGAGAAGATCTTTATTAGAGACATTGGGAGTTAGAAAACAGTGCTCAAAAACAAGAGAAGTTTTATATAGAAGATATTACCATCGAGGGATGGGTATAGCTCAGCAGTAGATGACATACTTAGCAAGCATGAGGTCTTGGGTTCAATCCCCAGTACCTCTATTAAAAAAAAAAAGATGCTACCATTGAGGTGACAGCAAGATATCTCTTTGTGATGTCTGGCACACAAAGGGAAGTGATACAGGGGAGTAGAATTTTGGAGAGAGATCTGTGAGTCCTAAGGTAAAATTTTCAATATCACTTATGTTCTACCTATGAGCTTACTCAGTAGTGTCCAGTATCTCCCCTTCCACCACACCCACCCAGGAACATTACTAGAATACTTTTTTTTTAATGAGCTACATTCTACCACTCTAGAATTATTATTACCATTTTGTCTACATCAAAAATTATTCAACTCTAACAGATCATAGCCATTTGAGCTATGTTGTCTAAATATCCCTCCCTCCCAATACCCGTGGAGTTTATCAGTATCATGCATTAGATGTGCCTGACTTTATTTTTTCTATGAAGTCAAGCATGCTACTGTAGGCTAACCTAGTGTGATTCTGAAGCATTAATATTTTACATACACTATTATTCCATGTAAGTGCATTGAAGCATAAGAAAATTTCAATGTTTTTAGTTTTTCTTATTTCCTTTATCTGAGTCTTAGCAGTTATGCTAAAGCAATTTTATAATATCCCTATTATTAAATTCAGAATGTGTACCCAAAAGTATGCAGAGAATTATTTAAACTATATTGTATTTTCCAGTCCTGGCCAAATCATTTGACCTTTCATTAGATACACAAAAGAATCATAGATGGATGTCCTAGGTGGTTAAAAGCAAGACTAGATTTAGTGGATGAAGGGCAAGAATTCGGAAGACTGTTACATATGTGACCCCTAAGTAAAGCATTTTGGCAAATAGAATTGCCCTGCATGGAATCTTAGACTTCTGAGTTGAAGAGTACCTTAGAAGTCCTCTACTGCTCACATTTCTTAGGAAGGATTAGGGCTGGGACAAGTGCAGAGGGCTTCTCAGTGGAATTTCTTTCTTAGGCTGTCCTGCTCCTACTTGGGTAAAAGTTAACATTCAAAAATGACCACAAAACCCTAGTTCCGAAGCTTGACCACTCTTTTCCCTAAAGAAACTCTAAAGGATTATTACAAAGAAGGTCACAAAAATAGCAAGAGAATCACTAAGATCAGTGTTACTTTTATAGCTGACACTCCTAGAAGTCCTTGGAAGAACTGCAACTACAAATGGATACCTGAAGACTAGCTCCATCTCTCACTAGCTGCCTGCTCAACCTCGCTGGATCTGTCTCCCCTCCACTAAGCCAGATGCTCGTAAGTTCATATCCAGCCCCATCATTCTCTAATTCCATGTGTATACTCAGAGTCTCATGAAGCCTGTCAAAAGGGTTCAGGATGGCAGATTCTGTTTACAGCCAAGATTCCACTTTGCCAATTTTATGGGCATGTGAATTATTGTTTAATGCCTTGACAATAACTCCTTAAACTTAGAGAAGCCTGCTATCCAAAGCACTTTATTACCATTTGATTGATTCATGAGTGTAATATAATAATCTATGGAAACAATGGGAATACTAATTTTTCAGAGTGAAAAAAATAAACATAAGAAATTAAGTGTACCTATTCACCTACAGATGACAATTTTGATCAACAGTATAATCCTGTGAAGACCTGCAGGAAATTTATTGCCCTGTATTTTAATTTCACTTTAGGTGAAACTATTTGCTTCAGTATCCAAAACCAGGTCACTATTTTTCCCAAATTTTAAAAATTTTTTCCAGGCTATTTGTTTGCATTTGAGAAAGAAAAAAAATTGGGAAATGCAATTATTCAATTTCTAGAAAAAATTTTCAGAATCAAAAACATTTTGTATTTGATAAATAAATCCCTTTATCCTCCCATATCTGCTCATATATTGCCGGAAAATTATGGAACCAGGGGTTGGTGGGGGGAGGAGGGGGCGTAGTAATCATTGCTAGAGGTTTTTGTTTGTTCATCTTACTACCTGGAAAACCAGATTGCCAAATTAGACCATTGAAATGCATTCTTACATGAGTCAGACAAAATAAACGTTTGAAAAAGATTGATATTTGCCTCTGTTCAGTGGTCCCCAGTGGCAAGGGACCCATCTCCAGTGTCTCAGCACGTCACACCTCCATGAAACCTGCTGTGTGGCAGCTAAGCCTGTGGAAACAGCGATGAATCATAAGAGTAAGGGAATCCCCGTGTCAGCACCCGCTGAAAGCAGCAGCTGAAGCCCTGTCCACGCTGGGAGCAAGACAGCCTGTGCGGGAAACCTGTTTCACCACGCCGGGTGGTTAGCCTTGCTCACTAAGCGTCTGCTTTTGCCTGCTCATTCTCTAAGTGCATCCAGCTTACAGTTTCTTCCTGGTGAGTGTCCCTCAGATTCTGGAATGTTCTGCAGCATTTCTTCACCAGGATGGGTGGAAAGGTCACAAGCACTGTCCTTCCACTTGAGTTTTGAGTTTGGCAAAAGGCATCTTTTCCTTCTTCAGTATATTTTCCACATTTTCCTGATGATTTCTTCTCACTTAATGGAGTTTTTTGATGACTGTGACCCCTCATGAATCCAGCTAGCTAAGTTAAGGAGGGAGTGGGTTTAAACACTGAGTTTCTCTCCAACAAAATCATCGTTCTTCAACATTCAACAAGAACCAATAAAGCAGAAGGCCTGAATCAGGCTCAGAACCACTGTCTGACAAGGACAAGCTTGCTACAACTCAGCTAGGATGGTGATAAACATGGGCTTCAGCATTTCAGACTCTTGAATCTGGAAAACAACTCAGCTAAAATTTATATACACTGTGTAATGTGAAGCTTGGCTAAAAGGAAAGCTGCCCTTGGAAAGAGATAGATGATTTTAAACAAGGCTAATTTAAAAACCCCAAATCAAAGATAAATCAGCTTTCTGAACTTAGAGGGGGAGCCTCCATGGCAGAGGTCCACACAGCCCACCGGCGGA